GAGGGGCTGTGTGGGGCCCCACAGCCGTGGGTGGAAGAACATTGCTGGCTGGCACTGCGGGGATGCGGGCGGGCTGGTGCTGCGGGAGCCGGGTGCGTGGCACCTGATGGCAGCTGTAAGGGACGCCGCGTGCCCCTTACAGCTGCCGTCAGGCGCCCCCCATCAGTTGGCGGCCTGGACAGCTGTCCGGCTCGCCCATGCCTCCATCCGGCCCTGTTCATGAAACAAGATTTAGAGGAGCAGTCAACAATGTCTTCCCTGTTGACCGAGCCGCGTCTTGACTCGCACGCTGTGCCGACGATCAGTTGAGCTGGCACAGCATGGTGGCCATGTTTATTTTAATGAAGCTGGGGATAGTTAAATCCCGTCTTCTTTGCTTGTCAGGTAGCCTAGTTTACATGCCTCTGTCGGCAGAGGCATGTGTTCTAGACATACCCTAATTGAACAGAAAAGCAATGCCAGAAACATTAGCTAAAAAAGTCCAATGGTGGTAAGCACTAAATCATTTCAACAAAGTTAACATCAAAGAAAGCCAGGAAAATGTAAAACAGCATCATGATTTAAGTTGTGGGTTAATTCAGTGCGCGTCCAAACTGTGAAATTCCATTGAGTTTGAACCTGTGTGTTTGAATTTGCCTACCCTGGCTTATGTAAATATAACTAATGTCATTCAGGAAAGTGGTGTTCCTAGGCCAACAGAAAAACTCCTATGAGCATAGGCTGTGCCTATACTAGTATAGCTATGTCACTATAGTCTTAGTAATGTAGACATGGCCTTAGAAACTGAATCCTAAATTCTAGTCTCTTTTGCTTCTCTGAAGAACAGACTTGTATCTTTAGAGTATTATTTTTATGGTCTTCTGCTCCAGCTCCAGTTAACACTATTGCTGTGTGACGTTCAAAATGGTACAAAAAAATTAAGACCATATTAAAAATTGTTTGAAGATCATTCAGCAGTTTTCTTTCATATAGCCAACATTAACCTGCAGCAAAACCAAACTGCATAGGATGGGCTTCCTGTCACAGAGTAATTCTATACAGAGCCAAAGGAAATTCTTTTTCCTCTCTTCTCCTATGCCCACCAATAACCGTGCTGACAAAGGGTTTGATATAGCCTGATGTAAGTAGAAAAAGTTTTGTTCCATGTTTTCTAATCCTAGCATTAGGGTTATGTAATAATGTTTTGTTCTAACTGCCAGGAAAGATAATGGAGCATATAATTGAGGAATGCTTCTGCAAACATCCGGAAGATAATAAGATAACAAGTAACAGTCAGCATGGATTTGTCAAGAACAAATCCTATCAAACCAACCTGATAGCTTTCTTTGATAGGATAATAAGGCTTGTGTATAAGGAGGAAGTAGTAGACATGGTAT